GGGGGGGGGGGGGGAGTGCCCCCCCCAGTCCTCCACTGGGGTGCATGCAGTGGCAGCAGCCCCTCCCCCCCAACATTTTTAAAAAGTACCCCTAGGTGTACATGTACCCCTGGTTGACAACCACTGGACTACACTGATATTTTAGCCTAATGCAATGGAACCAACCTCTACTGTTAAGTAGTTTGCTATGGAATATACTAACAGAATAGATTAATTTAACTTAAAATTTATAGCTGTTTAAAATGGTATCATCTTTCAATTTTAGAAATAAACTTTACTATATCTGCTAAAAATTTTAGAAAACATTTTCTCTGAGACCAGAAACAATGGGCATGCCGTTTTCCTACTTCACCTGCTATGCACACAACCTTAACCAAGAGCCAGTTTACTCTTGTTAAAACATGTCACTACATGAAAGGAGAGATCCTGAACTTCCAAAGCAGTGTGTGCAATGTGCATTTACTTGTATCAATGCATATACTAAGCAAGAGTCCTAGCAACAGGATCAGAAATGCCATGCAGTCTCCTAACTTTATTCTGCAGTTAACAGGTTACAGAGCATAGCAACACAAGTATTATTGCTATAGTAGTATTCTAATACACAAGAAAAGCATCCTTCCTAAGGTACCACAAATTAATATGAAATTTTTGGAAAAATATTATGATTAAAGTTCAGTAGAAATATTTAAAAGTTACGTTACCTGACACATGAACGAAGGAATCACTCTGTGAAAGGTGGATCCTTTATACCCAAAACCCTTTTCACCAGTACAAAGAGCTCTAAAGTTCTCTGTCAAAACAAAACTTAAAATCACTACCCTGTAACATTACATTAATGTCTTTTTATTTTTGATTCAGTAAAAAATGAATTATCAGTAATTTAGGTCCCAAGTTAATATTCTTAAAAACAGTTTAATACAAATAAAAAGATTATCAATAGCTTAAATGTTTGTTTTGCATGATGAATTGTGTCTTTTTGAAAGCTACAGCCCTGGAGATGTTCCATTTACCCTCAGAATAGGGCACAGTACAGAGCAAGAATGTGTTTTTCACTTATGTGCCTTCACTCCTGCTTGAAGCATCCTTAGGAATCAGAGTTTGGCCTCCATGCCTCTTAAATCTTTTCTCTTTGAAAACTGTAATGGTGGCATTTTTCTTGTGGCCACCTGTTTATAAAGTAACTGGAATAAGAAAACCAAGCACGGAGATCATGAAGTAACCATGAGAAAGAAACTGATCTTGCTTACTACCTTCACAAACTGATTTCTGTCTTTCTATATACAGAAGGGAAAGTTAGTCTCATTAACAGTCTCTCAAGCTGCATCATCTCAATTCCACAATTCTTCTTGTGTTTCAAAATGATAACAGTTGGGTTTTTTTAAAACCTTTTATTAAACTTGTTTGGCCAGCCTTGGCAATACACAAACATCCCTCACTTGCCTGTGCATTAAAAGCAAGGCATCAAACTGCTTTTGGGACAAATTCCATGTTTTAAATGTAGAAAATATTTACAGAACTTTGGAACAGGTTTTTCCAGTTTCTGCAAAATTCTCTTAGTAAAACTGAAAGAGCAACTGAACTTCTCTTAGCTGTATTCAAAACCTTAAAAGGCCAAAAGTAGACAAAATTTCTAAGATGCTTTCTTACCTGCCGTCTTCGGAACCACATCAGCTTTCAGCTGTTAAAACAAAAAGTCACCTTTGATATAAGACATGTCAATATACTGGAAAAGCTGAAGGCACCTATAATTTTTGAACTACGAAAAGCAAGGAAGGAGCCGGCACGACCCGGGCGCGGAGGCCGCG